TTTTTTTTAAATCACAGTCACACAAGTAAAAACTGGTAAGTGGTCAGTTATAGTGGTCGATGAATGAATGAACCACAAAAATATTAAATTTTTATTTCTGTTCTTGGTAATGTTTCGTCCCTTCCTGACACTGTTGTAAGAAATCCTTAAGGCCATGTTGGATGATTGAAATGAGAGTAAAACTTTTGACCAGCCTCGAGAAATGAACCTTTTTAAGAGAATTTTATTATGACCTATGAGGCATCCAGCAAAGATAATTCAAATGATGAAGATCCTTTGCTGCCACACTACTTTAATTTTTCAATCATATTTTAATCCTCTGTAGATGTTGAAGTTAACCCTGTAGCACACTACTCAAATCTTTTCATTAAATTGATTTTTAATATTATTTATATACATGAATCCTTTTAATCAAGGTGTAGTTCTGTTTTCTGAGGTATGAAGGTATATGTATATGGTTTAATGAAAAAGTATTTTTACTTTGGATACTGAAAGTAAAATTGTCTCTCTGTAAGTCTCAGCACACCACTGGGTTACAGTAACTCCTGAATCTAACATGTAGACCAAAAGAATTCAATAGAAATTAAAGTTCCAACTAAATAAAATTTTAACCAGAGAAAACAAGTGTTTCTCTGGTGGATATTCCTTATTAATAGATCACTAAAGGTTGCCAGAAGTTCATTCAGGAGTTCACTGTGTCTCTTATTGTTTCTCTTACTGTTAAGAGAGCAATAAATGAACCTGTTCACCATTTTAACTAATTATTGTTATGGATTCAGTCATGACAAATACAAGAAGACAACAAGAGAGTGTATGGATCTTAACAGTTTCTGACGTTTTGTTGTTGTTGTTTTTTTTAAACTTCAACATCAAACGATCGTAAAAAGATTAGATTAAAAAACTGTGTGTGTGTGTGTGTGTGTGTGTGTGTGTGTGTGTGTGTGTGTGTGTGTGTGTGTGTGTGTGTGTGTACACATTATTATTCCAGAGTGCATTTCAGATCAAAGGGACAAAATGAAAAAAGGACAAGTAAAGACAAATATTTTCAGGTTTTAAATGAATTCAGAAATAATTGTCTAATATGTACAACACTGCAGAAAAAATGTAACAATAAACAAGCCTCTGAATGCTGCTACCGCTCTGTTGTTGAAACAGCTTCTGTGAATCGCTCACCTTTCTTTTTGTAAACAACAAATCCAACAGCAGCAATTGGCATGACCACAGCACCCACTGCAACAATGATGGGGATGGGCGTGTCAAAGTGAGACTCTCCTGAAGAACAAACAAAACAGCAGGTTAGAACAGAAGTGCATCCATCCACCTATAAGGTTCAACTAGTTAGTCTATGAATCGCATGCTGCTGAAGGGAAGTGAAAATACACTGTACTGCGTGTCTATTGATGTGACCATACACACTATTCACTACCTGCACAGTAGATGCAGAACAATTGTATTATTTACCCTTTAAAGACGTTACAGTAGCTCTGTATTTCTGTCTGAAAAACACCTGTAAATGCATTCAGTAACAGCCCTCCGGTTGCAAGGCTAAAAAAAATAACCGAGGGTTTAATGGATTAAACACATTTTGTTGAACTAGTAAATATAAAAGTTCCAAAATGGCTATCAGAGTTTTATGGTCTAAATAGTGAAAGAAATTTAAAAACTGTTATTTAGAAAAATCACTAATAAAATAACCATGAATCTTCGGTTCCCTAAACTTGTCTAACTGGAGGGGTGTATCCTCGGTTGTAGGGTGCTGTGTTTGTCTACGTGATGTTGATTCAGTCACACAGAGAGTTCAGTGACACTGACAGGAGCTGGAGGGCTAAAAAAATAAAACAATTTCAGTTAGTCCACTGATCGTGGAATGGCTTTTGTATGAAACATTAGTGGAACTTTTTTTAATTCACAGACTAAAAAAATAAGTTTTTTTTCTTAATCTTAAGAATATTAACAGCATTAACAGCCTCGAAGAATGTACATATTTTCCAGCCCAGCTTGGATCTCCATCAGTTATTCCCAAAGTAATAATAATAATGAAAAAAGAAGCCAGGAAGAAAGATTCAAGCCTCACATTTTAGACAATCCACAGTATCAACAAACTAAATTACTCAAATATGTTTTTCTCACCTTTCCAGTTGGTCCTGATAATGCTTTCATTCAGATTTGTGATGATGTCCTCACCACCAGAGAGCTGAAAGACACAGTCATGCCTTCCCCAGTCTTCAGGTGTGACTGATAATATGCTCAGGTCAGCACTCATCTGGAAGGTCTCATCATTGTTGGGGAGGATCTCTCCTATCTTTTCACCTTCATCTCCATCTTTCCTCCAGAACATCACGGCTCTGTCAGGATAGAAACCTGTAGCATGGCAGCTGATTGGAGAGGAGGGAGTCTTCTGGAGGAGAGACACTGACGGAAGAACTGGAGAGATGGAAGGTGGGAAAGAGAGATGGAAACAAAAGGACAATCGATGGAAGAGAAACAGAAAAATGGCAAAGAAAGAAATTTAATAGGGAGATATGAACAAAAAAAACATTGATATCAAACTCACACAACACATCTAGGAGGCTCAGTGGCACTAGCATTTTAAAGGTGTTAGGAGGCTAGAAGAATAAAGAAAAATGTCTTGTGGTGCAAGTAAAAAAAGTCTACAAAATAAATCATGTATATCATTTTAGCTTCAGTTTGTGATTTGTTTGTAACCTTGTACTTTTTTTATAATTAGTTGTTTGTTCTCTGCCCCACTCTCTGGGTTCACATATGCCTTGTGTGTATGAATAAATACTGCGCAGCCACTAAACTTTATAAGCTCATGTGATTCTACCTTTTGTCTGTGGGAAGCTTTTCTCATACTCCACATACAGCTTCAGATACTCTGGACAAATCTTGGTGAGGTCATTTTCTCTGTGTTTTATTCCAGGTTGGTCAGTATCCCATTTCAGTTTGGTAACATCAGCCTCTGGTTTCAGTGCGATCCATGTCCCTTTCTCCAGATCAAATTTAAGGAAGTCTTCTCCGTTATAATGATACTGTGTCATACCAATAACCTCCCCAGTGGTTTCATCCCATTCACAGCCATCTATCCTCTGTAAAATGTGGACACCTGAAGAGAGAAAGGAAGAATACATTTCAATGAACAATTTTAATACTGTACTTTGTGTAAGGCTCTATTGTTCTCCAAGCATTAGTTTGTTTTGTGATTCAAGTCACACTATCTGAGAACTTTTTATTAGTATAACTAATGGAAGCTAATTGAAATGCTACAGAACTTATCAATGAACCTGATTAATCAAGTTTATGAGAAAAAAGATGGACGACAAGAATAAAACTGATTTAATTCAGAGTATACTCCACAGCCAGCAAGTACGACACAGCCAGGCTTTCTTTGTGAGACCCAACGGTATCACAAATGTGGTTATCGTCTTTCTCTGTTAAGCTGGGCTTCCTGGTTCAGGCTCTGTGTGTGCTCATATTAAAAAAGGCATTTCACAGGTCACATAACTTTTTACACACAAAATGATCTCCATGAGTGCCTAATGAAATCAGAGACGCTATCACATGATGATGATAAATGATAAAAAAATAAAAGAATAAGAAAGGAATAAAACACTACTGAAAATGAGAATATGAATGAAAAATGTAAATGTAATGATTTAAACTAAATCTTTAATTCAAGTTAATTATGTTATGGCTGAGTGTGCTTAGGTTCTGCTATGAATCTGTGAGGTGACGGCTGTGCATTTAAACTGGGTCCATTTAAAAATAAAAGATTACACTCACAGTCTAAAGGAGATGTGGAATCTCTTTAGTTTCTCAGCAGAAAGGTAAAATTGATTCATTTCATTGATGGAACAGCTATTTTTGATGTGTGGTCTGTGTTATAGTAGATTTAATTCCAGAAGTATAAATGACTAATCAGAAGTATTACAACATTTATATATATTTTTTGCACCACCAAATGAGTACATATGCATTCCTGTGACTATGCAACATAAAGTTTGCACTACTGTAACTGGACAGCTGCACTTCATTCATTATTTTGCTTTGTAATATTACCCCTTTGGAGCTGTCTGACAACTAGGCTATAAATTCTAAGAAACTGTAAAACCGTTGCAAAATAAAACATTTTAAAGACAAAATCTAAACGTATCTGTTCTTAACCTCCTAGGACCTGGCGATGTGATGTGATGAAAATGTGATGTCCACATATGTGGTGTCCACATATGTGGACATCCCATTTTGGGTTATTTAGACCAAAATACTCAATTTTGCTCTACAGGGGCCTGATATCCACTTACGAGGACATTATACTGCTACTGTTCTATCAAAATTTAAATGAATATCCTCATACGTGGCTCTCATTTTTCTTAGAAACAAAAATCAGGTAAAAAACAACAAAAATCAGGTAATTCTTTCTTTTTACATTCATCGGGCCCCAATATGCCCAAATATCAAAGAGAAATTAAAAATGCATGCCGTTGAAGAGTTCGGGTCTTATGAGGTTAAAGTAAGAAGTTTTTGTATATTCAATGTTTCATTATCATTTAGGGTAAGGTATAACAGAAATACTGCACCTTCACTTTGATTGAACTGCTGTTTCAAACTAGAAATCAGCTCTCTGAAGAAGTTTGGCTGATCCTCAAAACACTTGTGCTTGTACCAGTCCAGTTGCTCAGGGTGTTTTTCTAAAATTTTCCTCGCCCACTTCTGTCTTGGTTCCAATATCTTCTTGCTCATGTCACAGTAACCCAACTGAACGCCATCAACCATCAGCACACCAGCGAATTCTGGGATGTTCAGAACTCCGGAGGATCCAATGATAAAATAGTTCAGCGAGTGTTTCACTGTAGGACAATGTTTATAATGGTAGCAATTAATTCAGATGCACAAAAAGTATCAGAAATATAATTCATTTAGTTATCCAGGCTGCACCCTTTCTCTTGCCCAGTGACAGATCAGATAGACTACTAGATTATTCAGTCAAAAAAATCTCATTTAATCTGCACTAACAGAGACAGAAGGCTCTACAGCAGGACTGTGCAGCTTTTAATTTATATTTTGACAAAGATTTGGGGCTAAAGGACCAATGTGGCTGATACGCTTTGCATGTGCAAATTATCAAGAATGTCCAAAACTATTAATATTCAACCTAAATCTTAAAAAAAACCCCGTATTTAATAGGTCACATCTGACATGAATAGAATAGAATAGAATAGAATAGTTACCTTTTACCAAACGAATGTAAAATGAGATTTAAAGCAACTCCTACCCACAGCAGCGGTGACAATGAAATTCAGTTGTCAAAGTATACCTGATAAAACATGGATCTTTTAAATTCTAGAAAATAAATATAAAAACTGAGTTTACAACATTCGGGCTAAAAGAGCTTTAAAGTGAAACAAAGCAAAAACTCAGCTTTAGGTCAGATGACTCTGCTGTCAGAGCTCAAAGGTTTAACGTTTTTTTCTTACCTGCGAATGAGCCATAGCACAGAAGAATCAACAAAAACAGCTTCATGTTTTCTTTATCCATAATGTTATCATTGTTATTGCTCTTGTTCCCTCTAACATGTAAAGACCTTTGAGGTTAGTTTAACTTAAGCAGCTATTGCAGCGTCTACTTTTGATTTCTGCTCCTAATAATCTGCCTGCACTTGCCCACTTTCCCACATGCCTATACCTGTAATAGTCTGATATAATCCTGACTACCAGGAAAAAAAATGTTGTCCAATCAAAAAAAAATTTAAATCCCCCAATGTTTGTAAGGTAATTAGAAGACTGAAATAATTTTTTGGGAAAAATAAGTTTACATTTTTTAGATATCACATGTCCACTGCAGAGGACATTGGAAGGCCAAATGTGTAAAAATGAACTTTTATGGCAAACATTTTCTTCAACTCTTCACCAAGGAGAAGTTTGAACTCAAGGAACTGTAGTTGTACTTCCCCCAAAACTGCAAGTCACTGCTATACTGAAGCCACGAGTTGGTGATTGCCAGATCAAAAAGTAGAAAACTGCACATACTGTCAATTTCTGAGTGTGAGGGACCATCCTGTAGAAACTCAACATTCGGCAACAAGGTCCACGTCACCTATATTGGTAGTGTACTCAGCAATTGCCAGTGGACTTGGCACATGGACAAACCTTTTGATTTTATGCACTTACTTTTCTTCTTCCCATAAAATGTGCTTGAAGCGATGGCCGCCATGTTCCTTAATGAAAAAACTAAAGTTCCCAAAGCTCCACCCCTTCACATTTGGTATCATTGGAAAGCCCTAAATGTCCTCTGTAGATACCAAAAGGAGGCAATTCTGTAGTATGCAGTGCATGGGAGATATTCAGGTTTAGAAAGGTGCTCTACAGAGGACAAATTTGCATTGCTGCTAGTCAGGAGGATATACTGCTTCTTTAGAACACAGAACTGGAAGGATCAGTTTTGTTGTCATGGTCCCTGTGCCTCCCCGGCCAGCCCAGTGTGGCCACAAGTGTTTGTGGTTTTTCTCTCGCTCTCTCTCTCCTACCTGTCTGCCTGGGCAGAGCTCTGATTGGGCTCCTGCCCTTGGCCCACGCACCTGCAGCTGATCTCGAGCAAATTGCAGTTCTCTGGCTCTTCTTAAGGCTGGGGTCTGAGTTATTCGTCGCTGGAATATTGAGTAACCCTCGTTAGTATTGCCTGGCTTCATTGCGATTCTACTGTTCCCGTGTTTGCCTTCAACTTACCCTCGTCTGTGTAAATAGGTTTACCAGGATCAGCCCTTTTGTGACCCCTGGACCCCGTGAGTAGGAGAGTGAGCTGCTTGTGTGGAGACTGTTTGGACGAGGAGCAGAGCGAGTGTGAAGAAGTGTGTCTCCCCAGCCTATTGATCCCCGGGACCCTGGTGTTTCCCCCCCTTCACGTGTATACAGCGCACCAGTGTGATTAATAAAGTGTCGTTGAACTGTGCTACCTCAGTCTGCGCCTGAGTCCGTTCCACTCCCATGACATTTGTTGTAACACACTGAGAGCAGGGTCCCAAAATACTTAAAAAACAGTGTCTCTTTATGATATTCTGATTTTCTTCTAATTATGTTCTTTCAGCTGTTCATGTGTCTATGGTTTGTTTAGCATGTATGTATTTTATTTGAGTTATTTTCATAAATTCAAGATTCAGTTTATGTTTAAAGAGTGTACATGACCTGCTGTTCCAATAAATAGGTAAATAATGTTTTGATTTATGAATAATTGTAACATTGAAAATAGCCTGATAATATCCACTGGTTATCAGCAGTCCACAGGGATTTGTCTGCAGAGGAGCAGAGCTCAGCCAGTCTTCTTCCTGCTGATTAGCCAGCTCAGTCTGGCCTTTAAAAAGGCTTCAAAATAAAAAGGCTTTCATGGAAATTTCAGACCTTGTTTTTTTCCATTTTAAAAGCTGTTTGTATTAAGCCATCTGTCTTTTTTAAATTTAAATATATTCTGATCTGTCTGCACTTCCCATCTTGCCTCTACCTGCCTCCAGTGCATCCCAGTTTCACATTTTGTCACATTAAAGCATTGTTAAAAAACGCATTAAATCGATTTTTTACCTTAAAGTTCTGCACACAATACCCCATAGTGTAAAAATGAGAAACATTTGCTTAAAATTCTTGCAAACCTAGTTGAAGTCTCAAGTCTTGTTGAGTCCTTAAGGTGTTTTGAGCATGATGTTACAAGCTTGGCGCACCTATTTTGGGGTATTTTCTCCCATTCTTCTTTCAGGATCTCTTCAGCTCCCTCAGGTTAGGGGAGTGTCAGTTATTCTTTAACCCCTCAACAACTAGTGTCTCATATTACACACACACAGTTTTTCTGAGTTTTTGAGACTTCTGATTTAATGACCAAGTTTCTCTGTAATGCGGAAACAGAGCACGCTGTCCAGTCTGTGGATTAGACCATACCAGCTTCAGCTCATTGATCTCAAACACCCTCTTCTCCACACAATAAACTGCTCTACAAGTACAATTTGTGTTTGTTGGCTCATTGGCAAGAGTTCACTGCTCCATCGCTTAGTGCTGCTTCATCAACAGTGGAATTTATGGTTCAGAGAGCGTGATGCTTGCAGTCTGCTCCAATCCAGGGACTGCCCGTCTGCCTGCAGTGAGCTGTGTTGCCAGATGGGGGGAGATGGGGGCAGTCTACAGACTACGTGGACTGAGGCAGACTCTGAGGAAGTCTGCCTCAGTCAGTCCACTATTATGCTCGCCACGTTACTTTGTGACAGGGAAACAGAGAAGTTCAGAACATGCAGAGTGAACTGTCATGTCATATTTTCCCAAACAGCTGATGTTTCTGGGTCTTAACAACCACCTGAGCCCAAGCAATATAAGACACACAGCATCTCTTACCTGACTGAAAAAGCTGCTGGTTTCCTCTGATAGCTGTGAAAAGTTTGGCCATCAGTCTGAGTCAGAAAGACTCTGGTCAAAAAGCATGTTCGAGATAAGTACCTCAAAGAGGTCTTGGATCAGCAGACCAGACAGCGTTCATGGGCTCATTCTAAACTACACGCAGTAAACAGAAAAGTGAAAGGCTGTAAAATTGCCGTAAGCATTTATACAGTGTGTACAAAGTGTCATTTTCCGGTTGAGCTTTAATCAATGCCCCCGCTGTTAGAAAGCTCAGCAGTGACGCCTTCTGGGAAAGAGCTAAATTACATGCATATGATCGGCTGCCTCATTCACCTACAGCAGTGCCGAGGACATTTAACCATGCATGTGACATTTTGTGTGCATTTATAAAGGAATTATCACATATGCACTTACTGCATAAAAAAACCCACACAATGTCCAAATATTTGTTTTGTTCTAAAAGAGAAAAAAGCTCTTTAAAAAAAAAATCTAAAGTTCACACAACACAAAACACGTTTGTTGATCAGTGTCTGATTTGTGGATTTAAGGCCTAACAACAACATTTAACCTGTTCTACAAAATTGTTTTTACTTGAGACAATTTTGTTTCTTAAAAATATATCAGGGGCGTTCATTTCTCTACGATGATAAACATCTTTCTGTCTTTTTTAGAAAATTGAACAAAAATTAATAAGGTTGTGTATTTGCAGTTTATCCCTTATTGCTTCTAAAAACATTTTAATAACGCTTTAAAAAAAAAGTCAATAAAGAAAACAAATACAGTAGTTAAGAGATTTATCATTTTTATTTATTTGTATTTGAATGAAACATGACTGAAAACCATTTTTATGTGAGCAACAAAACACAGGACAGTATCCTCCCAAAAATCCCTGATTTCTGTCACATTTTTATGCTTTGAGTTTTCTGGCTGATGATTATCACTAAATTTTGAAAATGATTGCGAGGCCGTCATATTTGACATTAAGTTGAATAAAATAATTATCAAGGCAGCCAGAAGGGGCATAATTGCATCTCATCTGCATATCATTATTGAGATACACACTCATGACACAGATATACACTCATAACATGGGGAAAAAAATCATAAATTCATTTTATTGGAAAATAAAACAACTTTAAGCAAAGAGTTGCATGACACTGCCAAAAACCTTTGGCCAGCTGATCCAGCTGAAAGCAGTGGGTCAGGCTCTGGTTTGACACTTAAGGACATAATAAATGTAGAGCAACCTTTTAATACCCACACAGGAGAACAGGCAGTGTTGGAGACACACGGGACAGTTCGATGTTTCTGAGCTCTGAAACTCAAACTGAAAACTACTAAAAGTTGTTAATATGGATGAAATAGATTAATTTGACTGAAATGGATATTACAGATTCTGACTTGTCTCTTTCAGTAACAACTGAATGATCATATGATGGTATTGAAAATTACTAGAAATTTAAAAACTGTTATTTAGAAAAATCACTAATAAAATAACCATGAATCTTCGGTTCCCTAAACTTATCTAACTGGAGGGGTGTATCATCGGTAGTAAGGTGCTGTGTTTGTCTACGTGATGTTGATTCAGTCACACAGAGAGTTCAGTGACACTGACAGGAGCTGGAGGGTTAAAAAAATAAAACAATTTCAGTTAGTCCACAGCCATCCAGGATTCTAACATTCCAAAGTTGTCCTAATGTCTTATAATTAAGTATACGTTTGCACTAATAATTATAAGCTTTGATGGATTTTCTATCTCTGCATCCTAGTCTATAT